TCCTATCTGTGAAGTAGTCCAACAAGAGGCTGTGACTGGCAGACAGCGGCAGCACCGTCCCGACAGGCTGCTGATCTGCCGGAACTGTGGCCCATTACCGTAGAAGGAAGAAGCGTCTGGAGTGACTGCCTTGGCACCTCACTCCTCCCACGTGCACCACACCAGGTCAAAGAAGCTGTCCCAGGAGCTTCCTGTCTTTGTATCACTGCTCTGTTGTGTTCATCCTACCAGTTCTTCAGACCAAAGACTTCAATCCTGTCACATTTGCCAAGATGAATTCCCCTCTTACAGATGACATTGTGGAATGATGGTTGGGAGGGAGACATAGCCAGTGAGCAGGCAGATGTTAGGGTGACCCCAGCCCCAGCCAGGGAGCTGAGTAACTGGGAAGGTACTCAAAGCAGTCTGAAATCCTTGCCTTCTCTGTACTTACTCACCTTCAGTGTCCTATTTTTACCTATTCTTCAGGTTAAAGGATCCTCCTCAGGGTAGAGTTCAGGAAGCAAGGAGGTGGCAAGTGAGAAATGGAAAGAAGTGTCCTACTTTTTAAATTGCTGACACAGCTATTATCCCTATGCACAGTGATTTTTATATTAAGTTTATGTGATAGCACAGGGCCTGTTAGAAAGGGAAAGCTGCTGTGCTAGGCTAGTAGATGAAGGAGGCATCTGGGTTTCATTTTTTCAGTGGGATTGCTTTTGGGGATTTGTAGCCTATAAGTATGGGAGCTATGTGTGTATTTAATATATATTTTTAATTTATTAAGTTATGAAGTGGGAGTTTGCAAGATTATGAGAAAATTAGAAAAATTCCTAGAGGAAATTCCTGTTAATAAATGATTTTTTTTTGTGCCCTTGGACTGATAATGCTGCAATATTGGAAAGTGACAGTGGAGACTGACAGTCTTTCACCTGTTTCCAAGTCCCAAATTTTTAGGCTCAGTGAAAGTATCTGGATGTTTCCTCCTGCTAACTACAGCTTCTCACTGGAGTCAGCTCCAACAGCAGCAGCCTAAGACACAGCCACCTTAGAATGTCAGTGTAAATTAACTTTCAAGTTAGGAGCCAGTAGAAAGGATGCTCTTGAGATAAATTTATCACTTAACATGTTTGTAAGATAGCAGCTTCACCACAGACTAAGGGGTAGTGTTTATGTTTAAAAAATACAAAGTTGAGCCAGGAGTGGTGGCACATGTCTTTACTCCCAGCACTCGGGAGGCAGAAGCAGACAGTTGTCTATGAGAGCAAGGCCAGCCTGGTCTACATAGTGAATGCCAGGCCAACTGGGGCTACAGGAAGACCCTGTCTCAAAAATAGCAAAACAAACAAACAACAAAAAAAAAAAAATTGGGACTGGAGAGGTGGCTGAACAGTTAAGAGCACTGACTGCTCTTGCAGAGGACCCAGGTTCAATTCCCAGCACCCACATGGTGGCTACAAACCATCCTTAACTCCAGTTCCAGGGGAATCCAAAGCCCTCTTCTGACCTCCGTGGCATTGCACAACATGGGTGCACTCACATACATGCAGGCAATACACTCATACACATAAAACAAAAATAAATAAAATATTTTTTTTAAGTCCTGTGATTATAAAAGTTCACAGCCAGGCTAGAGAAATGGCTCAGTGGTTAAGAGCATTTGCTGCTCTTGCAGAGGACCCAGGATTGGTTCGTAGTACCCACATGGCAGCTCACAACCTTTCTAATTCCAGTTCCGGGGGCGGGGGCTGATACCCTCTTTTGGCCTCCACAGGTACTGCACATGTGTGCTCCAAAACACTCATACACATAAAGTCTTATAAAAATAAATAAAAGTTCACAGCATCTTCTAATTTCTGTTTGAGATAAAGTTTCAGCACAAAGCTGGCACCTCTTTGCCTTTCTGACAAGTAGACATGAGGCTAGAGATGTGGCTTGGCAGTTAAGAACACTTGCTATTCTTCCAGAAGACCTGAGTTCAGTTCCTAGCATTCATGTTAGGTGGCTCACAACCATCTATAACGCCAGCTCCAGGGATCCAACACCCTCTTCTGGCCTCCAGGGGCATCTATACACATGTGGCATATGCTCACACAGACACACACACACACAAATAAAAAATAAATTATAAGCCAGACATAGTGGCACATGCCTTTAATCTCAGCACTCAGGCAGAACCAGGCAGGTCTCCATGAGATCGAGGCCAGACGGTCTACATAGTGAGTTCCAGGACAGCTGGGGCCACAAGGAGACCCTGTCTCAAAAAATTAAAAAAAAAAAAACAAACCAGGAACCAGAACAAAAATAAATAATACAGTAGACATGGACGTATTAGAAAGCAGCATCACATGAGTCATTCTTAAAAGTTCCCAGTAAGTATTACATAGAAACAAAGAAGGAACTTGGGGTTCAAACTGATTTTTATACCTGGTTTAAAGAGCACTGTCCTAGTTAAATCTTGTTAGCCTAAATCTCTGTCTTGGGTGTATGCTTCCCAGTAGTCACAGTGGTGAAATGCCATTATATATCACTGCTATGGACTGGACAGAACATTTAACACTGGAGAACTACCAAGGCTTTCATGACTATATTTTGATTCTTGCCATTTTTCTAAGCTCTGATTGTGAAAATTGACAGAAATGTACCACAGGAACAAAAGTAGTAATTGTGTTTGACTTTCTCCAAAACAACTTCCACTTTTAATAGCAGATTAGAAGTAACCACTTTTACTTTCATAACCTAGAGAGCCAGAGTCTGATCCCATGCCCTGTTATAGTTGGGCCTCATGGAAATTTCCCTCTGTGAAAGCTTTGTTTCTACCACATCCTAAGGGCCTGACTTGGCTTCTTCAGCGGGTCTGTAGAACTGAACTTCAAGTGAGACATGTTCGTATTACGGACTCTGTATAGGAATTGACTTCTCAAATAGATAGCTTGTTGTCAGAATTGATAGATACTTATTACCAACTACAGATTTATATTCTTTACCAAAATGCTCATCAGTTGCAGGTTATTTTAATTTACATCAATTATGATCATTACTGATAATATGGGCACCAATTATAACTTTAGCCATAAAAACATAAAGTCTAGAAAAAAGAGAATGGATGATTAGACATTTTGATTCCTACCCTAATAGCATCTGGAAGGGGAAATTCCTCCATACCCTCCTAGAAGGGTTGTGCTTGGTTTTTAAGGTTACTGAGTGCTAGACTGCCTGAAAAGATATCACCCAAGTCCAAAAGAAGCTATGCACATAGAAGAAATGAAATTTTCTCCTGCCTTTCAGAATCTGTGAATTCTGTTAGCTTATCTTTTTAATAACTAAGCTTATAACAGTTTATTTTGGATATTACTAGAACTTTAAGCAATTCTCATATCCTTTATTTGTTAAGTACACAGAATTTATGAAAAAAGAATGATACATGTATGTAATTAGGAACTCTGCTCTTATGAATCCTGCCATGGCTAGCCAGTGCCGTGTAATGACCCCCTTTTCAGCTACCTTTAAGCATTAAGGATTTAGTATATGAAAAGAATTATATTAGGCTCAGAACTAAGGAGTAAATAAATCAGTTTTTCATTTGTGAAAGTCAACAAATACCACACTGTTATGTTATTTGCCCCCAATGAAGTTGGCAATCATAG